AACGTTGTTCTGGTATAAGGAGGGCTAGGTGTTTATCTAGGTTTGGGAGGCTAAAATAGGTGATACTACATAGTTGTAATCTTGTTCAGCAGAAGAGGCAGTATCATTTTCATCTTTCAAAATTGGTGTTTTTAGTTCGGTGTCTCCGGGCAGATTGTGAGGACCCCGGCCTCAGTATTATCATTTGGAATGTCAGCCTTTGGCACTGGGCCCGTTGTAAAAAAGAGAAAAAAAAGAAAGAAAAAAAAGAGTGAATCTGACAGCTCTTGAATGGAAATTCAGGACGCGGCATCAAGAGTTAGGGCCTCGCTGCACTACTCTAGACTCTCGACGTTTTGAGAGTGGGTCTTCGCTGCACTTACTCTTGATCGGGGAACTCTCGAAACCCAATCGACAGTTGTCAGATACCATGCTACAAGGCCACTCTCGAAACGTCGAGAGTCTCCCGCCTGCAAAAACCGAATTTGCAAGTGTCATCGGGAGTTGCCCGCCCACAAGCTCGTTTTTCGAGAGTGGACCTCCTGTCCCGGTGTCGATCAGACACCTTCCTACCTTCCTGCCGATGGTCGTCGGTTCCGCAGCCGGCCGCTGAGAGCCCCCTTCGCTTACAACAAACCCCTTACGATCCCGACAGGCCCTTTTCTAACCCCAACTCAACCCACCCCGACCCCGCTAGACTTGGCCAAAGTACAACGACGTTTTGATCGATGAACTCCGAGAGGGTCTTTTGCTCTTCTCCACTGTCCTCCCGATGTAGGGGCCTGACTCTGAAGGACTTTCGAGCCTGGGTCGACCCCGTTGCGGGTCCCATTTGGCTCAACCCGCCCACGCTCATGCTCAGGGCGCGGGCCGTTCGTCCCAGGGGCATCCCCACCTAGTGCTTTGAGATGGATGGGGATGGGCCTTTTGCGGGAGGGCTTTACATTGGGGGATATAGCTCCGCTCTCGATGGTAGCTCTTTGATCACTCGCGGCGTTTTCTCGATTCGATTTGAGTCTGACCAGGCAATTGCTCCTTCCAATACGTAGGAAGTCCAGGGAATTCATTGAGAGTTCCGTCTTCTTACTGCGCGCAGGCCAAGCGCCATCCATTAGGCCACGCACCTTTTCACTAAGTCTAGCGGCTCAAGGCAACCCCGGCGGCATCCTTGGGGTGAGGCGGCGTCGCCCGGACCCCTAACCGCTATATTTTTTTTTTTTGCTTGAGCTACTACCGTTGCGCTCGCCTACCCAAGACCGCCCTTAGTCCTTCCGGGCTCTGCATTGCATTCAAGAGAGCTATTGCAATCACTCATCACACAATGTCACATCCTATGGTCCATCATGCATTTAAGCCCTCAATCCTCAAATTCCTCCCACACCCAGGGTCCACGCAAGTCCAAGCCCTTCCTTAGTCGGTTTCCCAGTGGGTCCAGTCCCGCTCAACCCCCATCCAAGCTACTCACCTGCACAACACCACACGAACCACGGACCAAATACAATCCCCGTTGGGGTCAACACATCGCCGCTTTCCACAAGCTTAGGTTGCCCTTTCCCTTACGGCCTCATTACGTGTTCCCTTTTCCTTTCCCACAGGCAAGTCATGTAAACACCCTAGTCAGGCAGTCGGGGAAGATGGTTGAGTCAAACTGACCTTGTCACAAAACAGCACTCCTTTCTGCTTTCACAATTGTTCTCAACAACCTGATATCCTTTCCTTCCTGGTGGCACAAGGGGCCGGCAGCCCTTCCCTTGCCCTCACTTTCCACCAAGTGAGGACCAAGTTCCTTCCCGTTCGTCCCCTGGCAATGTAACAGGTAAGGGGTTAAGGTTAGTCGTCTGCCATAAAAGAGGACGAGGGAGGGGAGAGTCGAGGGTCAAAGGGTCGAAGAGGAGAGAGAGAGAGAGAGAGAGAGAGAGAGAGAAAAAAAAAACTGAGGATAAAAGGAACAAGATGCTTCACATCCTAATCGCCCTTGCTTCTCGACTTATTCCAACCGACCCTACCCAAGGTCCCATACGCCCACTAGTAGGCCCCTATGTCTTTAGGGCGGATGAGGGAGGCCGTAGGAGAAGGTGGCGGGAAACGGTCGGCTATGGCGGATAGGCGTGGGTGATGGAGGCTGAAGATGGGTCGGGGTGGCCGGCTATGGTCGATGAGTGAAGGTGATGGAGGTTGGAGATGGGTTGGGATGGTTGGCTATGGTGGGTGGGTGTAGGTGATGGAGGTAGGTGATGGAGGTTGAAGGAGGGTTGGGATGTCTGGCTATGGTGGATAGAGGTAGGTGATGGAGGTTGAGGGAGGGTTGGGGTGTCTGATTATGGTGGATGGAGGTAGGTGATGGAGGTTGAAGGAGGGTTGGGATGTCCGGCTATGGT